CACGCATGGTACTCACACACACCTTCATACAATACGCACAGTACTCACACACACACACCTTCATACAACATGCACGGTACTCACACACACACCTTCATACAACACACACGGTACTCACACACACACCTTCATACAATACGCATGGTACTCACACACACCTTCATACAACACGCACGGTACTCACACACACCTTCATACAACACACATGGTACTCACACACACCTTCATACAACACGCACGGTACTCACACACCTTCATACAACACACATGGTACTCACACACACACCTTCATACAACACGCACGGTACTCACACACACACCTTCATACAATACGCATGGTACTCACACACACCTTCATACAACACGCACGGTACTCACACACACACCTTCATACAATATGCACAGTAGTCACACACACACTCAGACCACATGCTCAGCATACACACAGTTACATACACCTTCATACAACACACATGGTAGTCACACACATACAGACTGTCATACCACATGTACAATGGATATGCACAGTGTCACACACACACGTTCATACTACTTGCACAGTAGCTACACACTATCATCTAACACATTTGGTAATCACACACCCATCTGTCACATGTATCTTTATACAACATTTGAGGCATTATACAACATTGTCACATACACACCTTCATATAACATGTGTGATAGTTACACACGGTGTCATGCCACATGCTCTATATATACATACACTGTCACATATACCTTCAGACAACATGCAAGGCAGTTGCACACACTGTCACATGCATACCTTCATACAACATGCGTGGTAGCCACACACACACTGTCACACACACCCATCACACCCCTACAACCTATGAGCATCATACCCTGTCACACGCCGATCACGCCCATACACTCACTTGCGTGTGCACACACATGACCCTCAGGCACACTCACACATGCTCACACAATCACACCCACAGGCAGGCCCGGCCATTGCGGCACGGCTGGCTCTTTCTTTGTGCGTCCCCAGGAGTTCTCACCAACGCCTGCTCTGCCTGCGGACCCAGGACACCCACCTCGAGGTCTCTGTTCAAGGCGTCCTCCATGGGGGTCTCCAGGACCACAACCTCCTTGTGATGCCCTTGGCCGCTCTTAGCTTTGTCTTCTTTTCTGTGTTCTTTGCTCTTTCACACCCCAGTTCCCTCCTCTGGTGACAACGGAAACCCTTTTATAAAATGGCTTTTGTTCAAAATAACAGCCAGCGAACTCGGGCTGTTTATTGTGATAGTCTTTCACTGTTCTGCGTGTTTGACATTTTGCATAATAAGAAGTAGGGGAAAGCCAGCCTCTGAGAGAAGTCACTGGTCCTTGTACAGTTGCCTGAACCTTGGCTAAGTCACTGCTAGGCCACGGCTTCCCTAGCACAGCATGCGGTTGGTTTACTCATTTCCTTTCAGCAAGTGTGTGTGAAGTGCCTGCTGTGCGCTGGTGTCGGGCCAGGGGCCTCCTGCCCTGCGGGGCTCCTGTGCCTTGGGCAGGTGCCACGCCCACTCCTGGGCACATTGCAACCTTCTAGCACTAATGGGATCCTCACAAAGTCCCCTCCTTCTTAGGCTTTCGGTTCCAGCCCAAATAGCTCCTTTCCAAAGAGACCCACCCTCTGTGTCCAAAAACTCAAATGATGCCCCCCCTGGACTCCCTCTTTATTGTCCCCTGCCTGCAGCTTGCTCGTTTGTGAGCCGCCTCCCATCACAGCCTAGGCGTCTTGAGTGCAGGGATGCTGCTCTTCACCGCTGTAACCCCAGAGCAGCAGGTGCACAGATGTGTCTATGGCGTAGATGCTCATCCAGCAGGGGCCAGGTGCTGTGCTCAGCACAGTGGAAACACGGGCGAGCGCATCCCAGGTAACCAGATCTTACAGTCTAGGGGGCCTGACATTCCTTGTGGAATCACAGAAATACATAGGAGCTTCCAGGTCGGGGCAGGGCTTCCACAGAGAACCCCCTGTTCTGTGCAAGGAGCTCACGGAAGGGATCAAGCGCAACAGGAGAATCAGCAGAGACTTCCGAGCAAGCAATGGCAGAGCAGAGAAGGCAGGGCTGGGGACACAGAAAGAGCGCTCCCTGCACAGCCTGCGGCTGGAGGACACAGGTGCCCTGGTGCAGCCAGTGAAGGGGTGGGTGGAGGCGCTGCAGCCAGAGGAGCAGGAAGGAGCTCCGGCCAGGCGCTGCAGCAGGCCCCAGGGTGCTGGTGGGTGGCGGAGGAAGGAGTTTGCAGTGCATCTGCAGGGAGGGGCGGGGAGGCAGAGCCCTTGTGTCACCAGGGCCTTGGCAGCCAGAAGCCCTGCATTTTGGCAGGTGGGTCCCATGGCTGTTACCAAATACAGGGGGAGAGGACGTTGTCTCCACATCCTTCCGCCTCTTTTTATGCCAACCTGCCGCTTCCTGAGGCTCCCTCGTCTGGCTCCCTGCTCTCCCTGTGCTGGTCCGTGCAGGACACGGATCGCCTAAAGGCTCCCCTGCCTGCTGCCCCAGTGCCCCAGTGCCCCAGTGCCCCAGTGCCCCAGTGGTGCACGGGGCCAGCTCTTACTGTGCGAGTCCATCATCCCCAGCTGCTCGCAGCTCTGCCCGTGTTCCGTGAACGCTACACGTGGGAAACTGGCAAACACGACACATCGGGGGGGGCTGGATTTTTTTGAAGAGTGCTTTTTCCTTCCCCCCAGCAAACATCACCAGCATCTTCTCTCCCTGGTGTGTACCACTCTTATCTGTGCGCCCCCTGGCCCTAGGCTCATCCCTCCAGCGAATTTGGGGTTGAGTGGCTTCCGATTTCGGCAGCTCTGGATCCGCGTGTTTTTCTGACGGGCGTTTTGGGCAGAGGGAGGCGTAGAGACCCTTGCGGACGCTCTGCCATTGGTTGTAGAATAAAGACCAGGCCCTTCTGCTTAGGGCTGCTGCTGCAAAGACTAAAAATACAGCACTGTGTGTGAAATGCTTATCGCAGGACCTGTTGGGGAATTGAGCTCGGTCGTTGGAAGCTAGTATTCCAGTAATTGGAGCAGATTCGAGTAATTCTTGCTAACGCGGAGAAAGGCTGAAAGGCAATGATAGGCAGCGGTGGAAGCCGGGGTGGAGGGGGTGGCGTGGTCAGGCCTGGCTGCAGACAATAGCAGGGTGTGTTGTCTGCGGAGGACTGAAATGCACAAAGTGACCGACGTCTGTCTGCACTTCATATCACCACGCACTGGCATTTGTAGGAGCAATGGCAGTAACGAAAATCTCTCCGAGGCAGACGCCTCCCTCTGCCCACCCCACAAAGGCCCCTGCTGAGATGCGCAGGTGCGCACAGGGTCCCAGACTTAGGAGGCTTAGAAATGGGAGTGTGAGTTTCCCATGGTGCCGGGGTGATGAGCAGGCAGCAGCAACCATCCATCAGATTTTGAATTTGGTCCAGAGAGGACCCAGCCGGCAGTGAGCTGTGAGGCTGGGCTGTCCTGTCTGGTGGGGTAAGGGCATTCAATGCATTTGCAACTCAGA